ATTGGTTGTTCCCGTGAAGATAATCAGAAAACAACAGTTCTAGGAACTGACTATGGAAGCTACATGAGCAGCACAGAAGCTTTGGGAAAGAAAGGAAGGAGAAAATAAAACCGAGGAAGAAGTAGCATCAGTGATGCTCGTGAGCAGCAGGTTCAGGCTAAGTGGAGCAGAAGGGAGGCATACACAATGTTGGGTCATAAAATCAAACAGGCTTCACTCAGCTTCATGGACAATGGGGAGCCAATAAAAGACTCTTTGTATAAGCAATATATGCTGTTCGGCAAAATCAATGTGTCAGTATCTTGTTAGAAATGCACAAAGACACCATCTAGAAAATCTTCTGATGAGCAAAGGAATAAATGGGTCAATTATATTAGAATCTCTGCTTGTTACTGTCGCAAGTGTCAAGGTCCTGAAAGTCAAGGAAAATCTGAGCAAAGCTCTACAATGAAAGAAACTAAGCAGAGAACTAAATGCAATGAGTGATTCTGACCTGGATTCTTTTGCTACTAAAACACATTATTAAGACAATGGGTGATATTTGAATGGGGTTTAAAAATTAAATGGCAGCAATGTATCAATGTTAATTTCCCAACTTGGATGCTCGTAATGTAGTTAGGTAGAAAAATGCCCTTTTATGTTAAAAAATACACACTAAAGTACTCAGAGATATGGGGCATTATGTTGGCAACTTAATCCCAAATGTTCATGAAAAAAATTTTTTTGTATTGTACTTGCAACTTTTCTGTAAGTTTGAAGTTATTTCAAAAGAAAAATCATTAGAATCTCGAAGGACAGGTCTGGGCATCAGTATTTTAAAAATTGTCTAGATGATTCCGATATGCAACCAAGGCTAGAATCCACTGCCGAGGTCTCCATCATCATTATTTTAAAAAAAGGTTACAAGTATTTTGTTGCAATTACAAGAGAGATTCTGAAACTTTGATATTAAGAATGAGAAAAAGAATCATATTGGATATGCTATGCTAAATAAAAAGCTGAAAACCTCAAAAAAATAAAAAAAGGTTACATACTTTTGCATTGAGTACATGAACCATAATTTATTTCACCAAACCCTTCCCTCTTATTCTTCAAAAATGATTTATGAAGGAGCTTTTATATGCTGGGCAAGACAGATTCTCTTCCCTATGAGTACTCAGTCTTATGGGGACATATATATATAAGCAAAAGACAATGGGCTGTAATAATAATAATATAATTGCTATCATTTGTTGAGCAATTACTCTGTGATAGGCACTATGCTATCTGATAGGGCAGGCACTGCTATTATCTTCATTTTATGGAATGAGGAAACCTAGCTCGATGAAATGAGTAACTTGCCCCAGGTGCAGAGCTATGTCAGCTCTTGGCTACACTACTGTATTAGAGGGAAGCAAACTGCTAGGCAAACACACATATGGAAGGACCTGATGCAGACAACAGGTAGCAAAAAAGTCTTCTCAGAGGAGGGACCATCAGATACACCTTTGACATGCATGTCATTTCTGATTTTAATTACCCCAAATACTCCTTCAGTGAACATCTGTGCAGATAACTTTCTATTTTGTAGTCCTGCTGTCACCTGCTCCTTTGGTTAGAGTCTAAGAAGTAGAATTCTGGAACAAATGGAAAAAAACCCATGGCTTTCAATACCTGTTGCCACATAGCTATCACCAGCAATATGAGGGTATCTGTTTAACTGTAGCCTTACTAGCAGTGAACAGTGATATTTTAAAAAAATTCTTTGCCCTTATTAAAAAACTAGTATTTCTTTGATTACTAGTTTAGCTATATATTTTGCCATTAATGCTTTCTTTAAAGCTCAAATTTAAGATCTTTAGAGGTACTACCAATCAGGAGCATTACCAGTGAAATAACATCATAGAATGTCTCATACCATAGATGCTGTCATTTATTCCTACATCCACAAAAATGGCTATGTCACAATTAGGAGCATCCAAATGCTCCTAACAGATTCTATTTTCATGCTAAGATCCTTGAACTCTGAAACATTATGAGCTCAATGAGGATAGGAGAAATATCTCGTGTGATTCTGAAATCCTTTCACAATGTCAGCAAGTAATACATACTTATATAATCATTTGCTACAAGAATAAGTACATAAAATAGATGGTGACAAAATATGAACTGGAATACCTTCTAAGGTCTGACACAAATAAACTTAGCTCAATAAACATCACATGAGGAAAGGATTAAGGAGAAGTAACCTTTTCCCATTTTCCTGGCTCCCATATAAAGAGAGAGCCTATAGTCCCAGTGTGCCAATAACAGTTCTGGTTTATACCTTTTGTCCTAGCATCTTGTTTGATTGGAGCTGCCTTTCAGAAACGTCCTGGATTAGACAAGACATTTATGGTCACCCTACATCTACAGAATGTTCCCTTAATGAGTAGCAGTATAAAGTGCTTTCCTGATCAGAAAGCTTGTCTTTAGGTCACTCTGAATTTCACTTTGAAGACCTCCTAACAGATAACTATTCTGGCTTCTAAGTGTTTTTATAATACTTTACCATTTAAAGCAAAGTAACAATCCACAAACAGTTAATCCCTAACTGGAAGAACATCCCTTGATTATATCAAAATTCTTTATTCTATTTTGCTGATAAAAGTGAGGCATGGAAAGAAAAAGTAACTTATCCAAGGTCACATCAATTATGAATCACCAGCCACACGAGAGGAGGCTGCTGGAGCTCTGACTTCTGGTTTTTGGTTAACTCTCTAAACCACACAGTCATTAACTTACAATTAAATCTCCTGTGAAGTTAGGTTAGAAAGATTTTAATCATTTAGTAAATGGCTTTGTAAACTATAGGCAGTAATAATCCATTTCAGTTTGTACAAGCAAAATCATGGGCATACCTTGATAATATTTTTTAATGGGCATAAATTTCACAATTAATATTTCAGTTTCACTGAACAATAGTCTGTATTCAAACCTACTCTATAGATCCTAAACTATCAGAAAGTAAATGGAATATTTATAAAACAGGTGAAAATTTTAAACAAACATGTAATACTTTGGGTAATTAAAAAATGGAATTTGTTACAATTTTATATTTCACAAGTATGTGAAAATTTCATACCAGAGTGCATAGTTTAGATAAGGTTACATTAACATATAATCACATGTTTATCACATGAACATCTTGGCTTATAACAGAAAATTTTAATGGAGTTAACAAAGTAATTCTCTAAAGCAACAAAATAAAAAACTGATGGGAATAAATTTAATACACTATGTCCAAGACCCTTATGAAAAAAGACTCTACTGCTTGCATAAAAGAAGAGGCATACCAAATACACAGACAGAAACTCACAGTTATAGATATGTCAGTCCCATAGTAATTTATAAAAATATTATAACGTTAGTCAAGGTCCCATTTGCATCCTGTGGGGATGGGGTAAAGAACTTGGTAAGCTCATATAAAGTTCATGTGGAGGAATAAATTTAAGAGAAAAATCAAGAAAACTTTTTCAAAGTATAAATAAAGTGCAATAATAAAAATAGTATTTTGCTGGCACAGACCAGCAAATTGAAATAAATCAATTTCAATAAAATTGAAAGTTCAGAAACAGACACAGATGTAGACAAATATTTAATAAGTGAGAAGGAACAATGAAAGCATGGGAGCATTTAACGATGTTGTGACAGCTGACTAGTCCACACCTCACACCATATGTCGAATTCCAGGTGGATTGAACATTTCAATGTAAGAAAATGAAAGCAAAATGTGGGGGAGGCCTTTCTATGTATGACTTCAAAAGCAGAAAAAACGACCGATAAATTTGACATAAAACATAAATAATACTCTCTAAAACAAATATGTATTGAGGATATCAATCATTTTTCTGTGTTTAAGCTATAATCATTTTATCATTGTGTCTTCATTTCAGTTTAGTTCCTTTTGACATAAAAATTTAAAATACAATTTTAAAAAACTGTAAAAAGTTAAAAATTTCTATTTTTTCTTTAAAGTTTCTTTGCTTTGGGGCTAGAAATGACTTTCTAAAAACCAAACCAGACTGGGACACCTGGGTGGCTCAGTCGGTTAGGTGTCTCACTCTTGATCTCAGCTCAGGTCTTGATCTCAGGGACATGAGTTTAAGCCCCGTGTTGGGCTCCATGCTGCGTGTGGAGCCTACTTAAAAAAAAAAAAATCCAAACAAGACTAATTTTCATTAATACTTTCTTATAATTTTTTCATTGTTTCCTGTTTTATGTTAATTACACAGATGAGAGGTCAAAATATGGCTCTGTCCTATATGAATGGTTTGAGGATGTTATATACCTCTGAATCTCAATTTATTTTCCTGAAAAAAATGGACATAATAATACCAACCGATTAGAGTTGCTTTGGAGATTGAGGGGGGTGGAGGGATGGGTTAGCCTTGTAATGGGTATTAAAGAGGGCACCTATTGAATGGAGCACTTGGTGTTATACGCAAACAATGAATAATGGAACACTACACCAAAAACTAATGATGTAATGTATGGTGATTAACATAATAAAATAAAATTTAAAAAATTACTTTATACAAAGCATTTATCTATCATGCTAGAACCCAGCATATAAAGAGTCAGTAAATGGTAACTACTACTTTTAATGTTACCACATTGCATATTGGACTTCTTGATTTCATTGACATAACAGTATGACTAGAAACTTATGGTAATGGTATTTTTACCTGTTTTTAAAACAAATTTCACATTATTTAATGGTATAGCTTTTCATTTTAAAATTATTTTTAAATGTATGCATTAAAATATTGGCATGTATATACCAATCACAGAAATATGCCAACCAATTAACTCTTTGAAGACTAGTTATATGCAGCATCCTACAACGTGGTCATTTAAAAAGTCCTCAGATGGCCAAGTAATAGTATAATCCAAGAATATTAAAAGGTTCCTTATGCACCAGAATTGCTGAGATTATGAGTTTGAAATATAAATAGGATGTCAACCTTTCTTTATCTTACCTCTAATAGGCCATCCTCTGGTAGATCAGTACAGTGAACAGCATTCTGGATCTTAGTTTTACCAAAGACTGCTCTGAGGGTTCCAGGGCGTAAATGCCGGGCAATTTCCTACAAATGCACAGTCACATATAGTCAGTCGCTCAGTGTTAACAAGAAAAACACCAGCTACATGAAACATTTGAATTATCTGTTTATGAAATACATGTATACAGTGATGGCACTGATTTTTTTCTGGAAATAGCACGAATGTATGAAAACTTTGAGCAATGAAACATTTCAGTTCACTCATAAGGCTTTTTCTGTGACCTGATGTAAAGTCCAGAGGGCGACAATAATTACATCTCTTTTTATCAATAGACTCTGGAAAAATCACATAAAATAGGAACCCAGTTCATTACTGTGAAAGACTTGTATCCTAACAACTTGATAAACTAGTTTGATGGCCCTGATTTCAAAAGATTTTTCAAAATGCTCCATTTGTATCAGCTTAGTACTAGCTCACATTAGAGGAAACAATGGTTACAGATAACTCAAAACTGTGAGTAAAAGAAACAAGAGGTTAAAAAAATTAAAGGTGGGGGAGTATTAATGACCTACTTATTAGTCTTTTTTTTAAATTCTAAATGAAACATTTCTAAAACTTCAATTTTAACTTTGACATATACAAACTAAAAGGGTACTTAATATATATGAATATTTTTAAAAGGGAAACAAATACCTGTGTACCCACTATTCAGTGGAATTAAAATAATACAATAACTTTGAAGTTCCCTGTGTGAGATTTCATCCTGACTCTATTCTATCCCACCCCTACCTCTACCCAGAGGTACCCGTTACTCTCAATTTTATTTAAAGATTGTTTTGTTTAGTTTTCAAAACATTGTTTTTCAGATTTGTCCATGTTGTTGTGTTTAGTAGCAATTCATTTGTTTTTATTACTATACAAATCCCATGTGTGATTGAGCATATTTTATCCATTTTCCTATTGATGGACATTCAACTAATTTCTTCACTCTCCCCCTTTCTTTCTCCTCTCCTTGCTTTGACACACACACACACACACACACACACACACAAAATCACACACAATTCTGCATGTATACAAGAGTTTCGTCTGGATTAGGGCACATACATATTCAATTTTACTAAGTACTGCCACACCATTTTCTTAAGCGGTTATAACAATTTGCCCTCAACCATCAGTGCACAAGAGTTCTCACCACCCACATCAAAATCCCCATTTGATATTGCCTGACTTTTTAATTTTGCTATTCTAGTGGGTGTGAAATGGTGTCTCATTATGTTCTTAGTTCATATTTCCCTGATTACTAAAGAAGGTTAGTGTCCTTTCATATACATCCACTTTTGTAAAATGTTTATTCTTGTCTTTTTCCATCCATTTCCTACTGGGTTATTCTTTTCTTTTTGATTATTACTTTTATATCCTGAATTCTATTTTTTGTCACTTTGCACAATGTAAATATCGTTTCCCAGTCTGAAGCTTATCTTTGGATTTTCTTTAGTATTTTTTTTTATGAACAGAAATACTAAATTTTAATGAAATTAAATTTATCAGTCTTCTCATTTATGATTTGTGCTGTTTCTGAAGGAATTATTCTCTACTCCAAGACCATAAAGATATTCTTCTCTATTATCTTCTAAAATGTTTAAAGTTTTGCCTTCCACATGAAGTTCTTGATCGGCCTACAATTGACTTTTGGTTATGATGTGAGGGGGATATCCATTTCCATTTTGTCCACATGGATATTTAATTGCCCTAGCACTAATTATTGAATAGTTTCCCTCTTTCCCCACCAATCTCCAGTGATTAGCTCTGTTATATATAAGATTTCTGTGTAGGTATGAATCTGTTTATTGGTTTGCTGTTTGGTTCCACTGGATATTTTGTCTATTCATACATCTATATTATACTGTCTTAATTATTATAACTTTATAATAAGTCTTCATCTGGTAGGGCAAGTCCTCCAGATTTTGGTGTTTGAATGCATGAAGTTTGAGTTGCCTATTAGATATCCAAATGAAGTTTTCAAATACATGGTTGGGTATGAATCTAGGATCAGAGGAGTCTTCCACACTGCAAATAGCAATTTGGGGGTCCATAGCATTTTTAAGGTATTTAAAGGTATCAGTCAGATGAGATTGTGAAGGCAGTGAGAGGGGAGACAGGGGCACCATATCATAAGAAAATCAAGGAGAGATGATGAGCAAAGGAGATGGAGAAGGAGCGACCAGCTAGGTAAGAAGAAATCCAGGAGAGTCCTTTCCTAGAAGACAGTGAAGAAAAATGTCAAGGACAGAGAGTCATCAACAATGCTCAATGTTGCTGAGAAGTCACTAAAGACCAAGAACTGAACAATGGATCTAATCAATACGGAGTCACGGATATCCTTGACAAGAGTGGTTTCAGAGGCCTGGTGATGAGCAAAACATGGACTGATGTGGTTTCACGAGAAAATGGGAGTAGAAGAACTGGAAAAAGTGAATACAGGCAACCATTTTGAGGAATTTTGCAGCAAAGAGAAGAGAAATGGAGCAGTAAATGGAGGGAAATGGAATGAAGAGAGGTTTTCCTGGAGAGTGTTATTTTTAAAATGAGAGAAATAATGGCACGTTTACATGCTGATAGGAATCATCCAGTGAAGGGAAATGCTGATGAAGCAGGAAGGAGAATGGAGGATTGCTGGAGTGATGGAGTTACGAGCAGGAGTGGGGGAGTTGACCTTATCTAGGAGCATGGAACATTCATCCTCAGCATCAAGACCGCACAAAGAGCCCACTGCAAGAAGTGGGTATATGCAGTGGTGACAACTTATGGAAATTCTTTATTTTTAATTTTGATTTGGATATAACTTACATAGGTAACATGTATTGGTTTTAAGTGCCGCCTGAATTTTGTCAAATAGACTCAGTAATCACCATCCTAAACAAAATATGGAACATTTCTAAAGTTCCCTCTGGAAGTTTTCTTTTGATTGATTCTATTATGCAGTGAAAAGGGCAGCAAGATTGTCATCAGCTGAGGGGAAGGCTGGAGAGGAGGTTTGGGGGATGTCAGGAGAGAAAAGAAGGTATGAACACATTTTAAGACAGCAGGAAAGTGAATGAACTAGGAAAGTGAAATGTGATTGCTGACAGCACTGAGGGCCCTCCTGTGAGGCCCTTCATTGGTGAGGTTAGTGGTCATGAATGCAAAGGGAGATCATACAGGATAGCTGTGTGTTCTTCTGTAGCCACACTCAGCTGCATGGGTGCAGGCAGAGATTTTGGTAGAAAGTTGAATGTAATGAGGGTTGGGACTTTACCAAAAGAAAACCACAAAACAAGAGAGGGGTAAGGGAGTTGAGGGGTATTCAAGAGAGTGATAATAAGGATGGGCAACAAAAATTGAGTAAGAAAGCAAGAACCTGGGGGTGGGCAGAGGGGTGAGAGGCACTGAAAAGGTAGATCAATGGATCAGAGCTCCTAGTGGGATGGAATGATTATTAAAACTGGTGTTTGAAGAAATGGGCTAGAAAGTTAAGAGAAAGGATACTTGAAATTATTGGAAGTGAGAGGAGAAGGGGGGGGGAAATTAGCAACCCTCAGGGGATTTGCCAGGTGTAATCTGAAACTGGCCCCTGTACTCAGAGGGCAGAGAAAAACTGAAGAAAGAGGTTAGTAGTGGCAGTTTTCATAAGCAAAGGGATCTTGGGTGACAGCAAGGTGAGTGGATTCCTGCACCCACCAGCCATATCTTAGGTTTATACAGAGGCCTTCACTGGGTTCAGTCATGTATACTGTGCAGGTGTTCTCAACACCGCATCATTACGTCAAAGCTGTGTCCTTGGAGCAGCCACTGGGGGGAAAGGCAAGCAGAACCCACATTCCAAGGACAGGGGAGGGGGTGAGGAACCTCTGATCGACTAGATCAACTGGTGGTCATGTCTGTTCAATGACCTTCCCCGACATGGGGTTACAGTGATTTACAATGATCAGTTTTAAGGTGTAACCATGCCCAAGGTCACGTGGAGGGCAAAAATCCTGAGGAACGGAGGATCAAAGACTGAGAGGCCAAAGTACTGAGTCGATCAGCTCTACGGATATGGCAATCACCAAGAGTTATGGCGGCTGCAGCTTCTGGTGCAAAAATGCTGAGCAGCATCCATACCTGTGATTCCATCCCTCTGGCACACCTTAAAAGTGTGCATTTATTTAATTACTTAAGTCTTCCTTTACAAGGTTGTATCAAATGTCAGTTATAAATGTATTACTTAGGAAAAACATTTTGATAAACTAGAAAATAAGGATGCTCTATATTAAATTCATGACTTTCATTCTGTCCCCCCTAATTTTCCTGAAAATTAACCACCTGATATTACACACCTACTCTATTCATGTGGTGGTAAGTTGGCATTCTGTGAAGTAAGATATACTTTGTAAAATCATGAAGGTGGGTACTTATTTTTCTTTTCTTATAATTTGTTAGGAGGAAAACACTTGAAAAGGATTCCATTTAACTGTACTGTTTCATAAGAACTTACCCTGTACCTACTTTATTTGGCATCCACCATTTTCACTAAAATATTACTCTCATATAAGTGACTCTATATGCACAACACTTAAATTCTGAAAAGGTGTGTGTGTGTGGTGGTGTGTGTGGTGGTGGTGGTGGTGGTGGTGGTGGTGGTGGTGGTTGGGGGGGTTCGTTGTTAATATCTAATCATATCGTACTGTGGTGAGAGAATGTGGTCTCTTTGGTCGTCTCTTGAAGGAGTTTGCTGGGATTTTCTTTGCATAGTCAATTTTAGTCAGTGTCTCAAGGGTAGCTGAAAAGAATACTGTCACATCTGTGTGCAGGAAGTTTATTGGGAAGTAGCCTCAGGATCTACACTTGTGGGGAAGTGAGGAATACAGGACTGGGCAGAGGGAGAAGTTGAACTGCAATGAGTAACAACAGCAGCCTCAGATAATCCTACAGGGAGCTCTGGAGCTATGATGACCCTTCAGAGTCATCCTGAATTGAAGCAAACAGGTGAGGCCTTGATCTCTCCAAACTGACAAGTCACTAGATATGGGCTACTCCAAGGAAGGGGCCATGACCTTGGGCA